TTCTGTCTGTCTGCCAGTTCTGCTCCCTACTTTGTCTCTGGTGAATCCTTCACCCTCCTGTGCCTCTGGCTTGTACCCCAGTTCTTATATAAATAAATCTTTAAAAAAAATTAAAAATCAAACAAAAAGCTGGGGGGAAATCCCAAAACTAAAAAAAGGACTATATTGTCCTTATAGTTGGTCAATTCTAACATTTCCTACTTTTGTTTATGGAGTTGCTAGTTATAAATTTCACAGCAGTGCTTTTCTGCATTTGTTTTTAATGTCCTTGGCATATAAATGTGTGCTGTCTTGGCTTTGGACTTTCCCAGGGCTGGGAGCTCAGCAGTGGAAGGAAAATGTAATCAGATGTGAGGGAGCTCATGGATGTGTAGGCTCTTGGGAAGATTTAGTTTGGGTTTAAAATGATTTTTTAAATCTCAAAACAGCTTTAGCATATTTCCTAATCTCAGCCATGTGTGATGGTTACAGCCAGACAGTACCTTGAAATCATGTCAACCTCTTGATTTTATTTACCTTAGAAGTCCCAGAGAATTTATTGTATTTTCCAAGAAGGTCATAGTTGTTTATAGAGAGAATCAAACCCAGATCCCAAATCCTTCCTTCTTGTGAGTGTGCTCTCAGTGAGCCCACTAGATTGCCAGACTATTCTCCCTCATATAGATCACAGACTCTCCAAAGTCCAGTGCATCTTATTTTAAAGCTCACATATATTATGCTGAGGATGATTTTGAGAGGTTCTGGAGGGCCATCTGGCTGTTGGCATAAATTGAGCTTTGTAAAGTCCTTTACTGGTCAACTATGCCATATGACCTTGAGAAATGGCTCTAATTTTTCTCAGCCTCCTTTTTCTTATCTGTAACATGGAGATAAGATTGCCTACCTTATTTTGCTTCTGTGAAGATAGGACAATATTTATAAAGTACATAGCAGAGGACCTGGTTCAATAGTTTACTCAACAGCAGTTGCTATTTGGAGAAAACTTTTCAAATTTTTCACAATATTTTTTAAAAGTAAACCTCAATTTTCATAGAGCTTCCACAGGATCCAGCAATTCCACTCCTAGGTATTTACCCAAAGAACACAGAAACATCAATTCCAAAGAACACCTGCACCCCTATGTTTATAGCAGCACTGTTTACAATAGCTAAGCTTTGGAAACAGCCCAAATGCCCAAAAATAGATGACTGGATCAAGAAGATGTGGTACATATATACCATGGAATATTACTCAGCATTCAAAAAAGATAAACACATGCAATTTGCAGCAACATGGATGACGCTGGAAGGGATCATGCTCAGTGAAATAAGCCAAAAAGAAAAAGAAAAATACCGGATGGTCTCACTCATAGCAGGGATCTAGAAAACTTAAATAAGGGACCAGGAAAATGAATAACTATAAGAGAGTGAAAATCAAAATCAACAAAAACTATGAACCAGAGACACTTTTTGGGGGGTGGGGGGCGGGAGGGGAGGGATTGGGGTCAGAATGGGGGGATTGCAATTGTATGGGGAATACAAAAATAAAATTTATTAATTAAAAAAAAATAAATAAATAAAAAAATAAAAACATCAACAGAATACGTGAAGTTGTTCTTATACTAGGAAGGAGACTTCAAAGACTAAATACTTGCAAAAAATTTGTAAGTCTTATACATTGTATAAATCTGAAAGATACAAAAGGGAACACAATGAAAAGCAATTTTTCTTATTTTCTTTTCCCCCTGGTATTCATTTTCTTTTGCTGGAAACTCACTTTACCATTTTTGTGGGTGTGTACCTCTTTGAGACATATCCTATGCATGTACTCAATAAGCCTTCACTATTAAATCATCTCTATCTTCCTCCTTCCCTCTGATCTCTTATCAGTAGGACTAGCCGTTGAATCAATAACCCTAGGGCACTGCTGTCTAATACTTTGTGTGATGATAAGAGTGTCCTGTATGTGTCCATTGCAATACCCATTAGCTTGTGTCTTTTGAGCTCTTGAAATGTAGCTCTTGCCGCTAAAGGACTGAAGTTATTTAATTTTAAGTTGAATAACCACAGGTGGCTGGCTAGTGCCTACCACATTGGACAAGGCCATGCTAGATATTTATGCCTGTGGCACTTTTTACAAAAACACTTGGACCCAAAATTATGGATTCATGAAGAAGTCATGTAAAACTTGTCATTTAATGTTATTTAAAGAGCTCTGTAGTTTAATGCATTTTAAATTACACTGGATTAATGTATTTTCTTTTTAAATTAAATATCTTAAGGAGACAGGAGTTCATTTCTCAGAGCATGCTGCTAATCAGAAAAAGCTAAGACATGGTATGTTGTAGGAGACCATTGTCTAAGAGCTGATCTCAACTGAGTTCAAACTTAGCCTCATTTATCCACTCATTCATTCAAGAAATATTTGTAGAATACCTAATGTGTACCATACATAGGCCCTGAGAGGACTGTTTAGCAAAACTTAAACAAATCCCAGCTTTCCTGAAGCTTTCACTAAAGCACTAACATAATGAAAGCCTATTCTTAGCCACCTTTTCTATTGCCCCCACTGGAGTCAGCCAGCAACAGGAGAGACCTCTACAGAGACAAAGAAAGGAACTTGCTCAAGGCCCTCGCTTTGATTGCTGCCAGTATTATTTCCTTTAGTAAAGGAAAATGCTTCAGAGGAAAGAGTTCATATAGCTACTATAAATGCTTTCTTTAGCACTCTCATTTATTTCTTCAGTTTGCTAAATCTGAGTTGGGATACTACTCAGATGAAATGAGGGATGCATGTCCTACAAAATACACAAAATTTTAATCTAAGAAGGCCAGTAGATTCCAGAATAAGCCCTATATCATCCCTCTTAGGAAATGCGAAATAAGAAACTCAGATTTCTGTCACTGAGCCACAGTGCCTCATCCTCTGGCTTTGTGTAAGGTCTGAATAGTATAATTGCCCTTATCTTATGACTTTTACATTATCTCCCCAAAGTAGGGATCTGATTGCTTCTTGGTGTGTTAATATCTTATTTGATTTGTGTTATTCTTTTTACTTTTCTGCATTTCCTGTTTTTTTTCCTATCATGCATGTGTATTATTTTCAGAATAAAACAAAGAACAATAAATTATATTATATAAAGTAGTTGTCAGAAAGATAAAGCTGAAATGATTCAGTGGGGCAGAGATCAAGAAATAATGGTGAATCTGAAGAGAGAGTTACAAAATAGAATTGACAGGGCTAGCTACAATAGTGAGAGGGGTTTGATAATGAGCACTTGTTTTATATAACTGATATTTTAAGGAAAGACAAGTATAGCATAACAAAATTAATTTAAAAAAAATAGAGTCACAGCAATTAAATATTAAATGTCTTGTTATTTTCAATTACCTAACTATTTAAGATGATTTGCCAAGTGTGTATGTGTGTGTGTGTGTGTTTTGGTCCATGATGCAAATAAACGTACATTTTGGGATCATTACAAAAGTTAAGTCAAATAAGGGGATTTATTTTCTTGTATGACTTTTTTTAAGTTTATCATAATTTAGTGATAATAAAACACTATTGTGAGAATGTTTTACTTGGATGACTGTAAACTGACTTGAAGAACAAAAGAGACGGCCCAAAAGGTAAAGCCATAAAAGGAATGTTTGAAAAGCATTAACCTATATCACATTAATCAGGCTGGCAGTTATTCCCCTTCGAAAAGGTGTTAAAGGGCCTCCCCTGGTGGTGCAGGCGATTGAGGACCGCGCTGTGAAGCTGTCTGCAGCCTCTGCAGCACCAGTTCAATCCCAGTCAGCTGGCCAGGGTCCCAAGGCGCGGCAGACCTCTCCTGTCTCGCCTGCTGCTCCCCTCAGCAGTGTATTTCGTCAGTCTGCCTGTTCAGTTCCCCACACTGTCTCTGGTGGATCCTCTCACCCTCCCATGCATCTGGCCTGTACCCCTGTTCTTGTATAAATAAATAAATAAATCTTTAAAAAAAGAAAGAAAAGGTGTTAAAAATGTATTTCCATTCTTTAGAGGGAGGATTTTACAGTGAATTTTCAGAACTCACAACCCATTGAGTACGTCGGTCAGCTATTAGTAATCATGATAACTATATATTGTCACTGGAGCATCTTCTATCCCAGGAAATGCAGTTCTTTCTTCAGTGCTAATATGTATATGTGTAAAGAAAAGAATTATTCAGGCCTGAACCAGTTTATATTTCACAAAATCTTTATACTCAATGTAAGCCAATTACAAAGGACTTATCTTTATAAATGTGCTTGTGCATCAGTTCAGGGCCTCCCCGGTGGTGCAGTGGTTGAGCGCTGGGCTGCAAACCTACTCACAGCCTCTGCAGTGCCGGTTCGATCCCCGGCCACTGGCGAGGGTCCCACATGGCGTGCAGACCTGTCCTGCCGGGCCCGCTCCTCCCCTTAGCAGTGTACTTCATCAGTCTGCTGGTTCTGTTCGCCGCTCTGGCTTTGGTGAATTCTCTCACACTCCCATGCTTCTGACTGTACCCAGGCTTGTATAAATAAATAAATAAATAAATAAATAAATAAATAAATCTTTAAAATAAATAAATAAATAGACAAATAAATAAATAAATAAATGTGCTTGTGCATCAGTTCAAAGATAACATTGAAAACTAGAAACACTTTAAAAATGGAACACTCCAAGCATGGCATTTTAGTATGGAAACTATTGATTTTTTAAAAATCACAACATTTTAAAGTCTATAGAAGTATATAGTTTTATTCTCAGATCAAGAGCACTTCACCAACAATTTTCTAAGATCTAAAAAATTTTCTGAGGATCTAAATTTGAAGGACACATGTAAGAATTTATAAACATTAGAAAAGAAAAAAACAATAGGAATATAATTAATAATAATAAAGTGCTTTCTATATATCAGTTTCTTAAAACTTAACAGCATGAAAGTAATAACTTTCTTAAAACTCAGCAGCATGAAATTAAAACAGTTGCTCCTAGCAAATAATTTCTCCATTTTTTTCTCCCTTTACTCCTAGATTGAAAAAGAAAAAGCAAGCCAAACAAAATGCAGAGACAGCCTCAGCCATAGCTGCAAGGACTCAAACTGGAGAAGAAGATACTAATACAGTCACTTTAGAACAAGATAAGTGCAACATTGCTGTGGAAGAATATATTGCTGATGAAAAAAAAAAGAGAAAAAATAATCAGTTAAAGGAGATCAGGCGTACAGAACTAAAGAGATATTATAGTGTTGGTGAGTATTGGTGGCAATACAGCAGTATTTTCATTTATAAAATCTGTAATAATTTTTAAAAGAATAATTTGTAACTCATCACATAATAGTTTAGAAGTTACTATGTGCCTCCAGCCCTTACTTTATAATCTTTTGTAAAGAGATGGCAATGAAATGTTTCTTCACCTTTGTGTTCCCAGCATGTAGCACATAGTTTGTGCTAATAAATATCAAATGATAGCTATTATTTGATTTTTGGCTCCCTTTCCCTGAATGAGAATTGTATTTCTTAGTATATATAGATAGCCATCAAAGAAGGAGACATGGTCCGGCATTTAATATGTTGGGTTTTTTTTTTTTTTTTTGCTTGTTTTTTTTTTTTTTTTTTAAAAAGAGGGCTTGGGAGTTTTAGTTAAGGGGTATTTTAAAGTGAGTCCATAATTTTATATAGTTCTTCAAAACAGCCACTGACCTGAAACTGCATTAGTGAAAGGGCCATGTCTAGTATGATGAGGTGGATAATCCTGCTTTGCTTGTATCTTTCATCTCAACCTACTGCTCTTTTCCCTATCGCCTGCAGCATGTTGAAAAGAGTACACAAAGAAAGGGAACCAGGACTACCAACTTGATATGACACACAGTGTATTTGAGATTTCTAGGTTAAAAGACAGAGACTAAAGGGAGCTCTGAGAACATTTAATAGTGCTCATCAGAAATAAAATGAGCTGCTGTTGGGGTGTGAACAAGGGTTAATGAAGTCAATTCCAATGTAAGTATGTGGGAAGGGTTCCCCATACCAACAGGCAATTCTCAGACACCAGCAGGTGACACTCTCAATTCTGACTCTTTCTACTTGGAGATAACATCAGAGTCCACAGGTTAAGGGCTCAGTCATCCAAGACTGTCCTCTACTTCACATGGCAGTTGTAAGCACAGGTTATAACAACTGAGAAACTCCCACAACTCCCTCCTCAGGTTGGATTAATTTGCCAGCGGGACTCACAGAACTCAGGAAATCTATCTACATGCTAGTTCATCAAGGGCACTAAAAAGACACTAAAACATAGAAATCAACAGCCATATGAAGAGATACATAGGACGAGGTACCCAGAAAAGAAACTCTGTCTACTTGGAACTTGGGGTCTGGAAAGGTCACTGGTCTCCCAACATGGAAACTCATCAGAGCCCCTTCTATTTTTGACTTTTATGCAGGCTTCATTACATAGGCATGATTACTTAAATCATGCATCATTGGCAATTAAACTCAATTTCTAACCCCTCTCCCCTCCCTGGAAATCAGAGAGCAGAACTGAAAGTTCCATCCTCTATTTGTTGTTGGTTTCCCTGGCAACCAGCCCCCATCTTTAGGTATTTTCCAAAGGTCACCTTCTTCATTTAATAAAAGAATTTTTTTCCCTAGAAAACTCCTTTGTTTATTTTTACTGAGGTAAAATTGGTTTAAATATTATATGTTAGTCAAAGACTTAGCATTATACCTCCTCAGATGCATGTCACCACCTCCAGCTCCAAGGTACCCACAGCCCTCCACCATAGTCCATTGTGTCCCCTCCCCACTTTGTTTTCCCCTCCTCGTCTTTTAACCTCAATTTCACAATCAGATTTCTGGGATTTGTTATTGGTTCAGCTTTGTCTGACCATTTTATTTTGTTTCTCTATATTCCACATATAAATGAAACTATCTGGTATTTGTGTTTCTCCTTCTGATTTATTTAACTTAGCATGATCCTTTCCATTTCCATCCATGTTGTCAAAAATGGCAAGAGTTCATCTTAACCAAAGATATGTTTAGCACACTTTCAACATATAGGAAAGTCCAAAGGTTTTGGGAACGTGAGTCAGGAACTATGGGTGAATACCAAATTTGTATGAGAAATATGTTTTTTTATATATCACACATCACAGGATGGTTGTAAGTGTTGACATTGTTCCAACAGAGGTAGACAGATGATATGCCCCAAAAAGCATGTGGTATGTAGCATTCCAGTGGGTTGATGTGATAACAAGGTTAAATAGTTTAATAGCTTAATATTTAATCTGAAGTCATTCCATATTTCATAAAAACTGTAACTTTCAACTGATTGAAAGCCGTTTCTGTAGGATTAAAAAACTTCCTCTTAAAACTTAAAGTGTTGAGTAGTCTCCCTTATTTCCCAAAAGTGAAAGAGGATTAAGGAAAATTGCATTTCACATATTCTTTTGTATATGACTTATAGACACTGGGCATTTGAAAAAAAATTTTTATAGTGTGTCTCTTAAAATATTATCTTTCTTCATCCTTATTTTTTTAAAGATTTATTTATTTATGCATACAAGAGCTGAGGTGCAGGCCAGAGATGTGGGGGGTGAGAGGATTCACCAGAGACAGAGCTGGAAACAGAACAGGCAGCTCTACTGAAATACACTGCTGAGGGGAGTAGCGGGCGAGACAGGAGAGGTCTGCTGCACCATGTGGGTCACCTCCCTGGCCAGGGATTGAACTCGTGCTGCAGTGGCTGTGGATACTTTCATAGTGCTGTGTCTTAATCCCTTGTCCCACTGGGGAGGCCCCTCATTCTTATTTTAAATTCTGTTGCTTATATAGTATTTTAAATTGGAGACACTTTGCTCTGTAAGGTTTTTGTGACAGAGGCTGGTAGAGTCCTATCTACTGAGGTTTCTTTTTAGTCTGATGCTATTCCCTGTGGACACTACATTAGGAAAGCGTTCTAATATGTTGCCTCTGTTGGGTGTGTAATGCTGTGAGTCTGAAACAAAACCCATCATTCCACTTTACCTAAGTAACTCACAAAACCCTTGACTCTACATAAGTATTTCACTTAACTTCACAAAATCAGCTCAGTGATCATTTCTTCCAGCAAGGTTTCCCCTTCTCTGTCAAGGTTAGATTTGCCTTTTGCATTGTCATCTTGGATTTATTCATCTGCTTCCCTATTTATAGGCTGTTATGACTTAAATGCTGTACTGTGAACTTTGTGCAGTATCTGCAGCATTGAAGATACTCTTTAAATGTGCATTGAATGTATGAGTAAATACATAGATGAACACTCTATTTTGATTTGTTTTAGTTTCATGAAAATCCTGGACAGATATAGGTGACAGCACAATAGTTGGGTTAGAATTATCCTGTGATTTTAATTGGGAGCGGTAAGTAAAGAGATGTCAATATAACTTTTCATCTTCTCTCAAAAATGGCAATGGTAACAACTTGTTTAGAGATTTGGGGCTTTTCCTTAGGAGAATCCAGTGCTTGGATAAAACCATTGAATTCCAGAGTTCCTTGTCCATTTTCACACCTGACTGCCATTTTTGCTTTATGTCATAGGACTGACCTAGCACATTCTCTAGGTTGCCATCTCAGGAGATTGTTCTGCACCAGTAGGTGGAGCATTACACTTAAGTGAAGAGTAGTCTGAGCTCCAGTTCACTGCTTCTTTTGGTGGCTCTAGTCTGAGGAGAAGAAATGCTAAAATGGGAGGTTCTTAGCCACACTAAGCATTGGCCTTTATTCTGTAGTTAAAGGGGAGATGTTAGGAAAATTCCATTAATTGTTTTAGGGTAAATATGACTATGAGGCAATGAGCCCGAAGGCAGGTTGTTCTGGTGGGAGACTAGGGCAGAGGAGAAAGGACACGCTGAGGAGAGAGTTTGCTCACAGAAATACAAGTACTTGGTGAACAGTGTGAAGGGGAAATGTGAAGGGGGAAAGGAACCACATCAAGATGTGACAAAACAGAAAACAGAAAAAAGAGGAATAAAGATAGTGAATTAATATTAAGAGATGTTTTTGATTTGTCAAGAGTGGATTTGTCAAGAGGGGCTTAGGTTTCAGGGGTGAAAAATTGCTACTTTACTAGTATGAGGTAAATCCATATGCGTAAAAAAGTCATTCAGGGAACATACTGTTGAAAGTTAAGAAAGTTAATGATTGACAGGGTATAAAATTGCAAAGGAGTTTGATTTCTTTTTTATTTTGTGCACATTTTAATAGTTATTTTTAATATTAATCAGAAAATATAGAAGACTAATATTAGAGTAAATGCAAGAGCTTTATAAAAGGAGTAGACAAATTTAAAGTTCTATTATCAATACAAAAGAAAATACTTTCAGTAGTATCCATTTCCACTTTTACAACATTACCTACCTGAGCTAAGGGTGCATATTTGAAAAGACATTTTCACTTGGTTTCTTTGATTTATCTATGCCTACTGAAAGTCTTGGGTAATCATTCATTACTATGGTCTGACACTTAGAAAAACTCATCAGTTAAGGTGCTGATAAAAAGATGTGATGGCAATATTGAGTCACTAGACTTGTAACAAAATGGTCCCACATTCTAAGAATGTTTTGTTTTGCTGCTGGGAGAGAAGAAAGGAAATGGATAATTACATTGAGGCAGATGGTATCAGGTTGATTCTAGATCCAGCATCTAGCAAGGCACTTCGCACACAGTAAGCATGAAAAAAAAAGTAATAAAAATAAATAAATAAATAAATAAACCCTTTTAGATAAAAAAAACCCTTAGATTAAAAAACCCTTTAGATAAATAAATAAACCCTTTTAGAGTAAGTAAACTCAACGCTTCTGTGCTTGCATTTGTATTTTTGGATATACAGGATTTTTTTCACTTATTTATATATGTAAGCTCCTAAGAAATTGCTTGATAAAAATGCATATTAATATGGTTTCTAAATTAGATATTAACTAATAAATAGTAACTTAAATTTGACATAAATATGTTGGGGTGTTTATATATATATTAAAAATTGTGCCATATTATAATATCAAAATCAATTGAATTGTCATGAATTATATCACATAATTCTCTTCGATTAAAGGAATACATTATTCCTTAATCTTAGAATAGTACCCATCTTTGCCTATGGAAATGCAGAGAATAGGAAATTTACAAATATGGACAACATGTCAATAGGGAAGAACTGAAATACAGGTGTGGAATTGTAAGATTTGAAAGAGATGGAGATACTTTATAAATATAGGAG